CCCCCCCCCCACACCTACCCACTGCCCATCCCCCACTCCACACTAACCACTCTCCATCATTCAGTCTCAAGATCAGAAGATATTGGATATACACATTCGCAGACACTTTCAACCCCGCAGAGGATCCCTCCTGCACCCACGCCACTGCCGCTGTTTTCCAGACAATCCCCCCATGACTGGGTGTGCAAATATAGTTGTTAATGGGTGTTCCCTGAACTGGGAATCGTTTGTAATCGAGTTCCGTCTGAGTCTCTATTGGCCCCTTGCTGTTGCTGATATATTTTAATGATCGGGATGTAAATGCGCAGGCAATTTCAAAGTCTGCAAATAACATTAAACCTGGAAGAATTGAGGAGGACCATGTAGAACTTCAACAGTATATTGACAATTTGTTGGAGTCGGTGTGTCCTAGCCCCTGCTGCAAAGGCTTCTGCTGTGGTCTCTCTCTCCCTCTCTCACTCTCTGTATGTCTCTGTGCCTGTCACTTCCTTTCTCTCACAAGTGCGCTTTCGCTCTCTCTCTCTGTGTCCGGTCTTCACGCTCTCTAACTATGTCACTACGCCACTGTCATCTTCCCACTGTCTGTCTCGTTTTGTTTCTCTCTGTCCCTGCCTCTATTTGTCTCTCTTTCTGTCTGTCTCTACCTGTCCCTTTGTCTATTTCTATCTCTCTCTTCGTCTCTTTCCCTCCATGTGTGTCGGCCTCTCTCTTTCCATTATCTGTGCCAGTCTCTCTCTCTCTATCTATATCTCTGTCTCACATGAAATACAGACAGAGCTAGCCATTTGGATACAAAATTGGCTCAAAGGTAGGAGGCAGAGGGTGACAGTGGAGGGTTGCTTTTCAGACTGGAGGCCTGTGACCAGCGGTGTGCCACAAGGATCGGGGCTGGGTCCACTGCTTTTTATCAATTATATAAAAGATTTGGATGTGACCATATCAGGAATGGTTAGTACGTTAGCAAATGACACCAAAATTGGAGATGTTCTATGAAAAAGGTTACTTCAGAGTACAAGAGGACCTTGATCAGATGGGCCAATGAGCTGAGGAGTGGTAGATGGAATTTAATTTAGATCAATGTGAGGTGCTGCATTTTTGAAAGGCAAATCAGGGCAGGGCTTATACACTTAATCTTAAGGTCCTGGGGAGTGTTGCTGAACACAGAGACCTTGGAGTGCATGTTCATAGTACCTTGAAAGTGTAGTCGCAGGCAAATAGGTTAGTAAAGAAGGCATTTGGTACGCTTGCCTTTATTGGTCAGTGCATTGAGTATTGGAGTTGGGAGGTTATGTAGCGACTGTACAGGACATTGGTTCGGCCACTTTTGGAATATTGCATGCAATTCTGGTCTCCCTGATATAGGAAGGATGTTGTGAAACTTGAAAAGATTTACAAGGATGTTGCCAGGGTTGGAGGGTTTGAGCTACAGGGAGAGGCTGAATGGGCTGGGGCTATTTTCCCTGGAGTGTCGAGGCTGAGAGGTGATCTAAGAGATGTTTATAAAATCATGAGGGGCATGGATAGGGTAAATAGACAAGTTATTTTCCCCAGGGTGGGGAAGTCCAAAACTAGAGGGCATTAGTTTAAAGTGAGAGGGGAAAGATTTAAAAAGGACCTAAGGGGCAACGTTGTCACTCAGAGGGTGGTGCGTTTATGGAATGAGCTGCCAGAGGAAGTGGTGGAGGCTGGTACAATTACAACATTTAGAAGGCACCTGATGGGTACATGAATGGGAAGAGTTTAGAGGGATATGGGCCAAATAGGACTAGATCTATTTAGGATATCTGGTCAGTGTGAATGAGTTGGACCGAAGGGTCTGTTTCTATGATGTACATCTCTATAACTGTCTCTCTTTCCCTCTGTGTCTCTCTCTTTCCCTCTGTCTGTGCCTGTTTTTTTTCTCTCTCTCTCTCTGTCCTTCTGTCTGTGTGAGCATTTCTCTCTCCGTGTCCCTCTATCTGTATCTATCTTTCTCTCTCTCTCTGTGTCCCTCTATCTGTCTCTCCCTCTCCTTCTGTCCCTCTGTCTGGGCATGTCTGTCTGTCTGCTGAGAAGTACTTTAACCTGCATCCTTTCCTTCCCGATGCAGGAGAAGGCAGCAACAAAAGGCTCGGGAGTCCAGCCCGATGGTCTTTGCCCCCCTGGTGAGCGCTGGGAAGACAGGTGAGAATTGAAAACAAAGCTTCTCCCCCCCACCACCCCAGGTCTCAAAGAAATGAGGCACAAACCCCGCACCCCCACACCCCCATCCCACACCGAGCAAAATACCAAACTGGGGAATGGTAATGATCACTGGCCAGTGAACCCAAGTCAATTCATACCAAAGATTAACCAGTGTGGCAGCCCTAATATGGAGAATACCCTGATGCCTGGTGAAATATAAGAATGATGTCTCCCTCTCCCTCCCTCTGTCTCTCTCTTTCTGTTTGCTGTTAGTTCCTCACTAAGTTTGTCTTCTTCACAGTGACGAAGGATACTGCGGTTCAGGTGTCGGATTTACTGTGCTTCCTCACTAAAATGCTGCAACTTGAGCAGGAAGCTGAAGAGGATGATGATGACAAGGACGTGACTCTGGGACTGGTGAAAGAATACCGAGTAAGTGAAGCTGCCCTCGCTCCCTTATACTGTCCATGAATCACTAACTCCCAGCCCGTCTCAGTCAGTCAGCCTGTCCTCACCACTGAAAGAACAGACAGCTTCAGGAAGCTCAACCTCTTAGACAAGGAGCTAACCGATTCCTTAGAGCCCCCCCATACAATCCCCTCCCGAAGCTACGTTAATCCTGCGGGAAGCAAGTTCCTTTTTTTACCTTCGCTGCTGTTAGCTGTGATTTTTGATTAACAAACCAAACACCTTTCACAAGTGTGAACCAGTCACCTTGTGCCTCAGTGGACCAAAGTACTTGAAGGAGGAAGATCAGGAAGATCATTACTGTGGGTCTGGAGTCAAATGTAGGCCAGACCAGGTAAGAATGGCAGTTTCCTTCCCCAAAGGACATTAGTGAACCAGGTGGGTTTCTTTCCCCCAAACAATTGGCAATGGATTCATGGTCACCAATTGACTCTGAATTCCAGATTTTTATTGCATTCTAATTCCATGACTTACCACAGCAGGATTCAAACTTAGGTGTCTGGGACATTATCTGGCTCTCTGGATTAACAGCCCAGCTGAGGGAGAGCTGCACTGTCGGAGGGTCAGTACTGAGGGAGCGCCGCACTGTCGGAGGGTCAGTGCTGAGGGAGCGCCGCACTGTCGGAGGGTCAGTGCTGAGGGAGAGCCGCACTGTCGGAGGGTCAGTGCTGAGGGAGTGCCGCACTGTCGGAGGGTCAGTGCTGTGGTAATCCTTCCTGAGGTGTGGTGTGCCAGAAGTGTATTATCATATTGCCATTAATGAGATCTTGCAGTGTGCTAATTAGCTACCACCTTTCCCACATTATCAAAGCGATCACACTTCAATTGCCTTTCAAGTGCTTTGAGATTTGAAGGTGCTGTCTGATGGCTGTGAATGATGACTGCATTAATCAAGATCATAAGATTGTGAGATGTAGGAGCAGAATTAGGCCATTCAGCCCATTGAATCTGCTCCACCATTCGATCATGGCTGAGATGTTTCTCAAGCCCATTCTCTTGGCTTCTCCCTGTAATCCTTGATCCCCTTCCTAATGAAGAATCTTTCTGTTTCTGCATTAAATACACTCAATGACTTGCCCTCCACAGCCCTCTGAGGGGCAATGAGTTCCACAGATTCACCACCCTCTGGCTGAGGAAATTCCTCCTCATCTCAGTTCTAAAGAGTCATCCCTTCACTCTGAGGCCATGCCCTCAGGTATTAGTCTCACCTGCTAGTGGAAACATTTTCTCCATGCCCACTCTGTGCAGAGTTCTCAGTATTCTGTAATCTTTAATCAGATCACTCCTCATCCTTCTAAACTCCGAGTACAGACACAGAGTCCTCAACCACTCCTCAAATGACAAGCTCTTCATCCTCAGGATCATTCTTGTAAGCCTCCTATGGACCCTTTCCAATGCATTCTTAGATACGGAGACCCAAAACTGTTCACAGTACTCTATTATGACCAGAGCCTTACATAGCCTCAGCAGTACATCTCTTTTCTTGTATTCTAGCCCTCTGGAAATGAACGCTAACATTGCAATTGCCTTCTTAACTGCCATCTGAACCTGCATGTTAACCTGAAGAAAGTCCTGAACTAGGAGTCCCTTTGTGCTTCAGATTTCCAAAGCCTTTCCCCATTTGGAAAATAGTCTGTGCCTCTATTGTTCCTACCAAGGTACACAACCTCACACTTTCCCACATTATATTCTATCTGCTACTTCTTTGTCCACATTACTAGCCTGTCCAAGTCTTTCTGCAGCCTCCCCGCTTCCTCAATACTACCTGTCCCTCCACCTACCTTTGTGTCATCTGCAAGCTTACCAACAATGCCCTCAGTTCCTTTGTCCAGATCGTTAATGTATAATGTGAATAGTTGTGGTCCCAACACTGACCCCTGTGGAACTCCACTAGTCACCGGCTGCCATCCTGGAAAAGACCCCTTTCCCCCCACTTGCTGCTTTCTGCCAGGTAGCCAATTCTCTCTCCAAGCCAGTACCTTGCCCCTAACACCATGGGCTCTTGTCTTATTTAGCAGACTCCAGTGCAGTACCTTGTTAAAGGCCTTCTGCAAATCCAAATAGATCACATCCTCTGGCTCTCCTTTCTCTAACTTGCTCAAAGAATTCTAATGGATTGTCAGGCATGACCTCACCATGACAAAGCTTTGCTTGATTCCACCCTATTTTAATCATGCGCATCCAGTGTAACAGACCACATTGGTCTGCACAGCCACCTACAGTCTCACTCTGAGCGAGGAAGAAAGTCATC